AATAAAATTTACATATCAAACAATAAATATAAAAAGCGATAAAAAAATAATCCTAGTATTCTCAACGTTAAAATAGAAGAGTACCAAAGTATTACAAGCTATAATACTGACATGAAACGACATGTTTAACTAGGTAAGAATCATAAGTAATAAGCTCACAATAACTTGTATAATCTACTTATATGGAGAATTCAATGATTCTCGCTAAGATAAATAAACAAGAAGAAGATCTTACATGGTGGGGAAGCAGAATCTACAACTTTTACTTTTTTTAACCTTTTTTCTCTAGCTAGTCGTAGACATGCAATCATTTTTTCACCCTTTTTTTTAAAAAAAAATTGTTTATTTTTTCAAGTGAAAAATTGCCTTTTCACCTCCATTATTGGCCATTCCACTTACCATTTTACTCAAAAAGGAACAAAACATGAAAAATATAGCCCTAAGTAATAAAGTAGCAATATAGCTAGCTTGTCCTTTAGCAAATAGCAATATTGCCAAAGCCAAACATGGTCCATGCATGTATGAGCTCCTGATATTTTTGCCTACCAAGGACGTTTGTTTAGGGTTCTAATATTTCTTGACTGGTCCAATTCAATCATTCACGTGCCAAGTGATGATAAAAACCAATTGGTCCACGTGATTTGCACAGTCAAATCGCAACAGGCCATTCTCCATGTGCACCTCATTAATTAAACAGTCATGTTTAAGTTGTACAATAGAGACCCCAATCGAAATGAAAAATTCACCCTCCTCAGCAGCAATTACTTGGGAAAATGTTGATCATAGTAAAAAAAAAAAAAAAAAAAAAAAAATAATAGAGCTTCTTTGATAAGACCGAAAAAAATAAATTATCGATAGTTCTCTATTTTCAACTGTTAAATTTGTATTAATAATCATCTGTTTTGTATTTTTTTAATTTAATTTAATTTTAACATAATTAAACAGTCAGAAATTGATACTACTCATATAACTGGCCTACTAGATCGAAACTCCAAAAATGAAATTGTTTATAGGATCCTGCCTTTAAATGCTGTCATTAGCCGATTTATTTTGTAAATATGTAATTTTTTTTCTCCTTCCAATCATTTTCTTTTTGACTAGTTTTAGCTATGTGCTTCATAGTGAGACATATTTGAAGCTTCTTTTCACAGGGTAAGTTTCGATTTTATTTTTTAGATTAGTTTCCGGTTTTAGGTTTTTTTTATTACATTTTTATTTTTTATCCTTGTTTGGTTTTTTCTTTTTTATTTTCATATTTAACTCCATATACTTTTAAGTCCCCTTCGTTTTGCTCATTCGAGTTGAGAATTTAAATTAAAAAATGAATTCATGTGAAAGAAAATACTGTAACAGAAAAAGTTAAATTTAAATTTTTATAAAAGAAAACTTTGTAACACAAACTTGAGTTATAATTTAAACTAGTGAAATGAATGAGGTCTTATTCTCTCATTTTTATTTTTGAAAAGTACTTTTATTCTCTTTTTAATAACATTGGAATGGGAGGCTTGGTATGAAATAAGAATATGTTGATGAGTACCAATATCTAGTTGAGATTAGTTCTTTGATATCACACGTCTGCTTTCCACAGTTTATTTGTTTGTTTGTTTTTATTTTATTTTATTTTATTTTTTTAAAGGTATTAGATGATCAATATATGAGTATCGCGTAATCTTTATGTGGCTGAAAAATCGAGTGTCTTACTTGTCTAGAATATTTACAGTATATAATTTAAATTTTTTATAACTTGTAATTTCTACAACAAATGAAAAAAAATCAAATTCTATATATTTAAGCCATTCATGATCAACATAAAATCTTACACGATTTTTATATGGCTTGAGTGTTGATAAATGACTGAAAATTACTTCTTGATTTGTTTAGAGCACTCCTTATAGGTAAGGTCATTACCAAAATTTTGCTAAATTGCAATTACTAAAGCAGATAAAAGTCAAGAGGACACGATTGTTAGGAATAATCATGAATTAGTTTTAGGTCCTTGATTTGAAACAATTGTCCTACTAATCTTCTTTATTTTCAAATTAGTTTGGTTCATCTTCATTTGCAGTTATAATTATTATTTTTTTTTCCCATGGTTTGGTAGACGTTTGCAATCATATGTTTGACACTTTTTCTTCTTTCTACAGCAATATTACAATGATGTCTTTACAAAATCAGTGTGCTCTTTATTTCTCCACCACTCAATTTTATTTTGCAATGTCAAAGACATGAGTACATGACATATTGTTTTTTTTTTTTTTAATTTTTCTTATTCTTTTTTTCCCTAAATTAACAATCTTTTTTTTTTAAAATGGTATATTTCCAAGATTTCTAAAATATCAAAATTGTGCTCATAAAACATAACATATACAGTTGAGCACACGAGCTACCAGTCTTTAGTGGAGTAATTATTTATGGTGGTCTAATTAATTCTTGAAACCCTATAATAATTGCCTCAAACTTTCCTCAATTTTTTCAAGTGCCCTTTTCTTGATCTTTATCCAAGATCAATGCTTTTTCCCCAATTAAGAAAAAAATTTAAAAAACATACTGAAAAGTATTATTGTCTCCAAACTTTAGTCCCTAAAACGTCATAGAGAAATTGATGGTAGACCTGAATTTTCTTAATAGTGACGACAAGGTAATGTGTGGCTCCACCGTCCAAAAAGACCCACCATGAGAAAAAGATTGAGAATAAGGTCCACCTTACAAAAGGTGACTAATACCATTCACAATCTAAATCCCAATTATTTTCTTTAGTCTTCTATTTTTGCAATTATTTAGAGTGAGAATCTAAACCCAACAATCTGTTCATTTTTATGGGTTTTATATGTTAGAGAATCTGAATTCAAATAAAGGGTTGTGCTTACTTTTGAAGAATATCTTGCACGTTTTATCATAAGCAGACTTTTATTTGTGCCATTTCTACCATCACACATTATTGCTCTTAAAAAAAGAAAGGGAAAAAAAAAAGTTACACATTATTGCAAGTGCACAGTAGTACTATAGCTCACTAGATCATAGAATTGCACATGAGGTTTTAATTTGAAAAATAACAAGAAATAGTTAATTTATTGGAAAATAATTTGGAAAAATCATAAACAAATGCCATGGCCATGCGTGGAATCCGAATCAATCTTTTGTGGCCATGATTGAGGGCATCCTTGAATAACATATATTAAATGTACTAATGTCCAAATCTTATTGAATAAATAAATTTGAAACTTTGTCCAAGCAAAATACAAACAAAAAATTTCCAATTTTGCTAATCCAACTACGAAAGAATCTAGTCAATGGTAATCTTTATTAAGTAAACTATTTTGAAAAATAACTAATTTAAATACACTAGTCATAAAATTAGGAGATGAAAATACAATTGTGAGCTGGATTGGACAATAGTTCTTTGAGAATGAGAACTTTATCAAGAAAAATGAAACAAACAAACAAACAAAACATTATGGTTGTTGAAAGCTGGACTTTTTTCTATTGATGTATTGCTTTCATGTGTGCTAATCTAAACAAGATAAAGTACTTTGTCAACACTTCACCAAAAGAAATAAAATAAGAAGGAGAATTGTACGCGCGGTAAAATGTGAAAAAATATTTGATTAAAGTAATATTGTTTTCAAACCATTACATCACATCAAAATCATATTAAATTAAAATCAAGAAAAAAAAAATTTAAAAAGTGAGTTGTTTTACCATACTAATAAAGAAAAACTTAGTACTTGTTTAAGAAAAATTTTTTAATCTGATTTATGAATATTCATGTTCCAACTAGTTTATCGTTACCATACTCAAATGCTCACAATTCATATATGAGACAATAAAATTTAATTTATAAGTAAAAATTACTAATTCTATGTGCTCACTTAGAATTTTCTGCTTAAATATGACCGAATAATAAAACGTGGCACAAAATGACCAAATGACCGTTTAAATGGTATTCTTACAGTGTGGTGTTTTCTTTTTACACTTCTAAGAGCATATCCAATGCAATGTTATAATTAATGCGCTTATTACAAATTTAACATTTGAGTATAAAAAACACCCTTCAATACAATACTATTTCTTGTACCAAATTTCCTATATGATATACTTTGTGGTAAATTTTTCACTAAGCATAACTTATGAAAAATTTGACATTTGATTACTATTAGTTGAAATGTTTACTTTTTTTTTATGTAATTTTTACATTTTCTAAATATTTTAAAAATAAAAGTTAACTTTTACAACTTTCAAAGCTTAATAATTATAAGAAAAAAATAATAGTATTTCAAATAACATTATGCATTATAGCAAAAATGAAAATAACATACTATATTATAATTTTTAATGCTAAATATACAATTGACATCAACATTTATATTTGAGATGGTTTAAACGGTTGTTTAACATTTTTATTCATATCTTATTAAAGAATTTTCAAGATAATAAAACAGATAAAATAAGGGAAAAATGGACGTGAGAGATGTTTTATTCAAAGCATTGGAAAAAAAAAAAATCACAAGATGTTGGTAGAATTAAGAGACGTACAAAGTTCTTCTCAACCCAAGAAAGAACATTTTTGAGATCCTGAGCAAGAGCTTAAAGATTAGTCATTTTCAATGTCCAAACTAAAATTTCATATCCAACAAAACATAGAAACCCCCCCAAAAAAAAAAAACAAAGAAAAAAACCAAAACAAAAAACAAAATACCTTGAAAGTCTTTAACCATTGCAGTGCCGACAAACGTTTGAAGATAATAAGACCGTTTTCTAGAAATCATCAATTAATTCAATCTTAACTACGATTCTAATTCGAAATACATTTTTAAAAAAAAAGAACAACGACTAGAAAATTTATCCACATTTTTTAAATGCAAAAAAAAAAAAAAAAAAAATTGTTACTTTTTTTTTTACCCTGCCTCATTCTCTGTCGTCCACTTTACAGTTCACGAGTCATCAAAACAGTGACACTTCCAAATCTGACAAAGAGAGAGATATAATGCAAAGCTCCAATAGAGACTAGAGAGAGAAACTGTTTTGAGTGTAGTGAGAGAAAATGGGGTGAGTGAAAATGCAGTAGTTTGCAGCTGAGTTGTACTCTTCACAGCTGATGATCAGAACCCATCACTGATTTTACATTCTTTTGGTGTTTCTGATCCTCGTGGATGAGAAAAGATCGATTTTTTTTTGCTGTTTTTGCAGACCCATTTGCTTAAAATCGTTTGAATGGTAGCTTAGCTATGCTGACTTGATCCATTCGTTTGGTAAGTTTCTTGATCTTGTTCTTCAAGTTTTGTTTTTTTGTTTTTTTGACAATCCATCATGATTATAATTAATGCCTTTTTGTTGTTCGTTTGATAGGAGGTTTGACTTGGTGATTGAAAATCCGACTCCACTTTTGATTCTTTTGGTGAGTCTATTAATTGATTTTTTGTAGTCTTTTTGTTGAATAAGGAAAGTCAAATTTGACTGTTCTCTAGAAAGTCATATGCACAAAGATGTTCTTTGAGTTTTTTTAGATTGTTAATAAATCATTTGTTTTTTGATTCTTCCTAAAATGCTGGTTTTGTTTTGATTTCTATTGGAGATTTCATGCAAGTCTAGTGATTGCACTCTTATTTCCTAGCACTATGTTTGATTCTTTATAGACTCAAAACTGCTAGAATTGTCAAATGATTTCTTTCTTTATTATTATTATTTCTTTTTTGGCCTAATAGTTATGTATGATCTGATAATTATTTCCTTTTTCTCTTGATCAGTACCTCAAAATTTGGCTAATTGAAGGCTTGTTGAGATAAGGAGTTCCATCTACTGAATAATTGGACCTGTCCAATTGAACCAGTAATGACTTTTTCCGATCTTTCCATTACATAATCTTGAAGAAAATTGATAACATCTTTGTTTAATGTTGAATATATCTTTGGAAGTTTTTTCAACTCATTCTACTTAATGATTTGTTTGTTCATTGTTTAGGTGGATGGAAGTCTCTTGGAAAAACCCGAGTTAGCAAACAATTTTGATGGTGGGAATCTGTTAAAAAGTGATATTCTGGCCTGGATCCATTATCTGGGACTACCTTACTGGTACAAGGACCAGACTTTTATAAAGTCAAAACCAGTTCTGTGGTTGGTCTTAGCAGGAGTCATGGGAACCTTATTACATTCGGAGTCGAGGCGCTTGTACTCATGGTGGTGGGATAGCCACATTAGCCCCAAGAATTCGAAATGGCTTCAAGAAAACCTTACAGGTCTTGATACTCTCATCCCTTTAATTTACTGCTTGTTTTTGGCTATTCTGGTTTATTATGACTGAAATAAGTTTCTGAAAATGCAGCTTCGAGTTATTTTCTGAAAAAGCAGTATTGTCTATTTCTCATTTGGTATTTAGCACCAATTTATTACTATTACTAATAAAAATTAATCCCACATTTTACTCTTGGACGAGTGGAAAGACAACGCTTGGGTTGTACTATTGGTCCAATCGTGTTGTTTAGCATTTGTGCTTTTGAAATGATAGAGTTAATTGCCTTGTTTTTGGCATACTAATAGGGAGCTTTCCCATCATCTCTTATGTTGAACTTTCCTCATATAAGTTTGAGAATGATTTATATTGCTCTTCAATTTTTGACTCAAATGCCGCCTAAAGAAACCATTATGTCCAAATAGGAGAATGACCTTCATGGGTATTTGATGGAGGAATTATTGGAATTCCAACTAACACTTATGTAATGTGAATAAACAACATGATAAAGTTATGTCAAGTTAGAGATCTCTTTTTTGTTTTGGAAAGTTATACAAAAATAATATCAGATTACCATTTTGGAAGGAAAGAAAAAATCTCTTTGTTAAGTGGGCTTGTTTATTTTCTTCTCACAAATACATACATGGCTTTTCCCAACTCACTCTGGATCATCTTATGCAGACATGGACGCCAAGGTGAAATCAATGATCAAGCTCATTGAAGAGGATGCGGATTCTTTTGCGAGGAGGGCAGAAATGTACTACAAGAAACGTCCAGAGCTCATGAAGCTAGTTGAGGAATTCTATCGAGCTTATCGGGCATTGGCAGAGAGGTATGATCATGCAACTGTGGAGTTGCGGCATGCCCATCGAACTATGGCACAAGCATTTCCCGACCAAGTACCTTACGCACTGACTGATGAATCACAGTCAAGCACTTCAGGCCCCGAGGCTGAACCCCATACACCTGAAATGCCGCACCCGATTCGTGCATTACTAGACCCAGATGACCTGCACAAGGATGCGTTGGGACTCTCTTCAACCAACTTACTTGGATTGAAAAGCAACGGGGGAAATTCAGAAATGTCCGACACAGGAACAAGCAGAAGGGGGCTAAAACAGCTTAATGAGATCTTTAATTCCGGAGTGGCGCCAGAAAATTCGAAGGTTGGAGAATGGAGGATGAGAAAAGGCCTAGTTTCCCACGGAGGAGAAGAGAGTGGACAAAATTTTGACCAGGACTCTCAGATGTCAGGTGGAAACCAGAATTTGAAGAATCAGGTTATTTTTGAGTCTGAACGTGCAGTGAAAGCAGAAACTGAAGTTCAAAGCCTAAAGAAAATTCTGGCGAAGGTGCAAGCCGAAAAGGACACTCTCCTCTTTCAATACCAGCAGAATGTTGAGAAGTTATCTAATCTGGAGAGGGATCTTAATCATGCCAAAAAAGATGCTGGACGGCTTGATGAGCGAGCAAGCAAAGCTGAAATTGAAGTTAAAGTGTTGAAGGAAGCGCTTTTGGAGTTGGAAACCGAGAGGGATGCTGGTCTGCTTCGAGTCAATCAGTGTTTAGAAAAGATATCTAGCCTGGTGACTCTGTTATCTCAATCCCAAGAGGAGGGAGAAGGACAAAAGGAACGAGCTATAAAGGCAGAAACTGAATCTGGAAAACTTAAGCAAGAACTTTCTAGATTGGAGGCAGAGAAGGAAGCTGGTCTTGCTAAATACAGTCAATGTCTTGATAAAATATCTGTTTTGGAGTCTAAAATCTCAATTGCTGAGGAAAATGCCAGATTTCTAAACGAGCAAATTGAAAGGGCCGAAGCTGAAATCGAAGCACTATGGAAAGCTCTTGCTAAGCGGAGTGCAGAGAAAGAAGCTGCAGGTCTCCAATACAAGCAGTGCATGGAGATAATTGCTAAGATGGAGGCTGAAATTTCTCGTGCTCAAGCAAATGCAGAACGACTAAATGGCGAAATTCTAATGGGGGCGGAAAAGTTAAAAAGTGCTGAAGAACAATGTGTCATGTTAGAGAGATCAAATCAAACTCTGCGTTCAGAGGCAGAAGATCTGTTGAAGAAGATTTCTAGGAAAGATCAAGAACTTTCAGAGAAAAATGATGAGTTGAAGAAATTTCAGGACCTAATGCAAGAGGAGCAGTCAAAGTTTCTGCAAGTTGAAGCCACTTTCCAAGCTCTTCAGAAGTTGCACTCTCAATCTCAAGAGGACCAGAGAGCCTTGGCATTGGAGCTTAAAGATGGGCTCCGAATGTTGAAGGACCTGGAGATATCCAAACATGATACCGAAGAAGAAATGCAACGTGTTAAGGAAGAAAATTGGAATCTCTCTGAACTCAACTTTTCAAGCACTATCTCGCTGAAGAATCTCCAAGATGAAATCTTTAGCTTAAAGGCGATGAAGGAGAGACTGGAACATGAGGTTGCACGAAGGGAGGACCAAAGCGACACCTTACAGCATGAAATCAGGCATCTAAAGGAGGAAATGGAGAGCTTGAAAAGCAGATACCACTCAATAATAATGCAAGTAGATTCGGTTGGTCTAAATCCTGATTGCCTTGAGTCGTTTGTGAAAGACTTGCAAGATGAGAACTCAAAGATGAAAGAGATCTGCAAAAGTGAGAGAAATGAGAGGGAAGTTCTTTATGAGAAGGTGAAGGACATGGGCAAGCTTTCAACAGAGAATACTATGCTGCACGGTTCTTTATCGGGACTGAATATTGAGTTGGAGGATTTGAGAGAGAAGGTCAAGAAATTGCAAGAGTCCTGCCACTTTCTCCAGGGAGAAAAATCCACTCTTGTTGCTGAAAAAGCTGCTCTACTTTCACAGTTACAGATGATTACTGAAAACATGAAAAAGCTCATGGAAAAGAATAACTTGCTGGAGAATTCTCTCTCTGGTGCAAATTTGGAGCTTGAGCAGCTGAGGCTGAGATCAAAGAGCATAGAAGAGATGTGCCAGATGCTCAACAACGAGAAGTCTCATCTTCTGAACGAGAGAAGCACCCTGGTGTCGCAGTTGGAGAATGTTGAACAGAGACTGGGAAAACTCGAAAAGAGGTTTACCAAGTTAGAAGAGAAATATTCTGACCTGGAGAAGGAGAAAGACTCTACAGTGCATCAGGTCGAGGAACTACGCAGTTCTCTTCTGGTTGAGAAGCAAGAACGTTCGAGTTATATGCAATCAACTGAAGCTCGTTTGGCAGGTTTACAAAATGATGTCCATCTCTTACAAGAAGAGAGTAGACTGGGGAAAAAAGAATTTGAGGAAGAACTAGATAAAGCTATGAATGCCCAGATTGAGATCTTCATCCTGCAAAAGTTTATTGAAGACTTGGAGGAGAAGAATTTCACACTGCTCATTGAATGTCAGAAACATATCGAGGCATCGAAAATTTCAGATAAGCTCGTCTCGGAACTGGAGAGTGAAAATCTTGAGCAGCAGGTGGAAGCAGAGTTCTTGGTCAATGAAATTGAGAAGCTGAGGTTGGGGCTTCGACTGGTGTTCAGGGCTCTCCAAATTGATCTGGATCATGGGCGAGAAAAGAAACTCGATCTAGAGCAAATATCAGTGCGGTCGATTCTTGATAATGTTGAGGACTTGAAGAGTTCTCTTTTGAGAAGTGAGGATGAGGAGCAGCAGTTGCTGGTTGAGAATTCGGTGCTTTTAACTTTACTGGGGCAACTTAGAGTCGATGGCTTGGGGCTCGAGTCAGAAAAACAGAAACTTGAGCAGGAGTTTGAAATAATGAAAGGCCACTATTACATGTTGCAAAAAGATAAGGAAGAGCTTTTGGATATGAACAGGAATTTGAAGTTTGAAGTGAGCAATGGAGAGCAGCAGGAGGAAGTATTGAAGGGTGAATTACAAATCCTGCATGAAAAGATGGAAAGTCTGCAGAAAGCTTACCACATTTTGCAGGAACAAAATTCCAAGGTGCTTGAAGAGAATAGGTCTTTGCTTAAGAAACTTTTGGACCTTAAGGAGGAAAAGAACTTCCTTACAGAGGAAAATGATGCTATACTCCATGAGGCAGTAGCTCTTAATACCTTCTCTTTTGTTTTGGAGAGCTTCACAGTTGAAAAATCTATGGAACTAAAAGCACTTTCCGAAAATCTAAACAGATTATGCGAGGTTAATGGTGATCTCAAGGTAGAGAGTGGAATGTTGAGGGAGAAGTTGGTGAACAAAGAAGAAGAAATTGTGCATCTAAATGAGTCGGTTGAGACGTTAGGCAAGGAGTTGCATGAAGTCAGAGACTCTAATGATCAACTAAGCCTTCAACTTTTGATTGAGAATGATTTTCTAAAACAGAAGTCAGTGGAGCTCTCAGAAGCACAACAGAAGATAAGATCTACGGAGAACTTGAACGTGAAATTATGCAGTGCGGTTGAGGAACTGAAGATGGAATGTGAAGAATTGAAGTTAAACAGAGAAATAATTGCAGAAAAGATTCTTGAACTAACTGAAGATGGCCTTAACCAGAATAAGGAAATTGAAAGCCTTCGCGAAGTGAACGAAGATTTGGATACTAAAGTGGGGATATTATGTAAAGAAATTGAAGAACACAGGATCAGAGAAGAAAATTTGAGCGCAGAGTTGCAAGAAAAAAGCAATGAGTTCGAACTTTGGGAGGCTGAAGCCGCGGGATTTTATTTCGATCTTCGGGTATCTGCTGTTCGTGAGGTTCTACTTGAAGATAAGGTACATGAGCTTATTGAAGTTTCTCAGAATCTTGAAGAGGAAAATTCTGCAAAAACGATGGAGATTGAGCAGATTAAAACCAAAGTAAGCTTCTTGGAAAGCCAAAATGGAAGACTGGAGGCCCAGTTATCTGCTTATGTACCCGTCATAGCTTCTTTGAGAGAGAATGCAGAATCTCTTGAGAATAGTGCCCTTCTTAGAGAAAAGCTTCTTGCAGCAGCCAAAAAGGCACAAAAGGTAACAATATCTTCTATAGAAAAATGTTAAGCTATGGAAATTATGATCTATTACTTTCATTATTTTCCCAAAATGTAGATATACAAGTTTTCATTTCTAGAATAGGATTGAGAGTACAAATTTTATTTCTAATTTTGATTTATTGGGAAGAAAATGTCTGACTAGTAGCTTATCTCACAACACATGCATGCAACATTTCTCAGAACTAGAAAACTTTACACTGACGCTTTCTTTGATGAGTAATCTGATGTTTACAATGAATGCACAGGGGATGGAAAAGACAAGTCAAAAGAGCTGTGAAGATCTTAAAGAAGATCAAATCACCGAGGTCCCAGATGGGCTTGTGGATTTGCAGAAAATTCAGAAAAAAATTAAGGCAGTAGAGAAGGCAATGGTGGAAGAAATGGAGAAGCTCGAAATTGATGCAATTGAAAAGGCCATGGAAGAGGAAGTGGAACGACTTGCGGTACAGGAATCTGTGAACACCAACATTGAGGAAGCAGCTGAAAGTGAAAAGGAGACTGAAGCGCTGAAATTGAGGAGCTCAATGCTTCGAGAGGATGCCATTGCAATTGAAGAGATGAAAAACAGTGATGATCTTGATCTCAATAAGACTAAAGCTGAAAATGGGATTTTGATGAAAGACATTCCGCTAGATCAAATCTCGGATTACTCATTATACGGAAGAAGCAGGAGGAAGACTGGTGGGACAGATGATCAGATGCTCGTATTATGGGAAACAGCAGAGCAAGACCGCAGCCAGAATGCACCTGCTGATGAGGAGACACAAAATCAAGCATCTGAACCAAATCGGGCTTCTTCTTCAGGATTACAGGCAGAGAAGGAGCTTGGCATTGACAAGCTGGAGGTGTCCTTTAACAAATTGCGGAATCAAGAAGGTAACAAGGGAAAGATGTTGGAGAGACTTGCGTCAGATGCTCAGAAGCTGACAAGTCTACACAGAAGCGTGCAAGATTTGAAGAAGAAGATGGAGATAAACAAAACAAAGAAGAACTGCAATTTTGCCGAGTTTGAAATGGTTCAAAGACAGTTATTGGAAGTTGAGGAGTCTGTTGTGCAGCTAGTGGATGTCCATGATCAGCTGACAAAGGACATTGCAGAGACTAGTCCCTCATCTTCTGACAGGAAAAGTTCAGCTGAGTCAGAAGAGGATGGAAATGTCAAGGGGAAGAGAGTTGCTGAGCAGGCGCGAAAGGGTGCAGAAAAGATTGGACAGCTGCAGTTCGAGTTGCAGAACATTCATTACATTCTGCTAAAGCTTGAGGATGAGAATAAGAACAAAGGGAAAAATAGTAGATTTTCCGAAAGTAAGACTGGAGTTCTCCTGAGGGACTTTATTTATAGCAGTAGGAGAAGGCGTCAGAGGCGGCGGAAGGGCTGTTTCTGTGGCTGTGCGAGACCTTCAACTCGCGAAGACTGACGCGACGATCATCAGTTAGAGGGAAAGGAAAGTCATTATTTCTATGGATGAAATGTTTCTTGGGAGTTTCTTGGATTAGTTAATGAGAAACCATCTTTTGTAAGCTTAGTTTCTTATGTATTAGTTAGACCTTTGATCTAAAATAACAATATGCTGCTTCGTTCAGCATTTAAACTCTCCATCCCAAGAACACTATGGAAATGATTAGAGAAATAGAAGTTCTGTTCATGTGTAAATATTAGATGTCTAGTTAACTCATGGGGATTGCCGTATTTGCTATTTAAACGAATTAAGAATTTTATGCTATTTTGAGTTGTACGAAACAAAACGAGTCAACTTCCGTTGTACAAGACATTCCCTATTCTTCGGGGGCTAAATTTTCTGGCTTGCCAACGGAGTTTCAAACCTCCGTGTGAGATGAGACCACCTCCACCCATACCCTTACATTGTTCTCAACAGCCGCCACCTCCAAGACTCGACCGCCCAAGCCTTCAAACTCCGACGAAATCTCCTCCATCTCCCGAAACCCCAACTCTTGTTCGCTAATCTTTGGTTTTGATATGCATGTTAAACCTTGAGCTTAGCTTGTTTTTTGTTTATCTCTATCAAAATGATTTACTTTGGTTAGTTGTTGTCCTGATGGTGGAATATGGTCTGAATTGAACAAATGTGATTGTTTTCAATATTCTTCCAATGTGACCGAATCTGACTTGCATTTTGTGTTCCATTATAGCATATTTGTGTTTTCTAATAAGTCTTCGATGAAGACGTGTTTTTTATATTTCTTTTTGTGTCTCAATATCTTTTCTATATAAATTTGTAAGAAGGTGCCTTGAGATTTGGAAGTGGACCATGGTTTCTTATAATGCTTATGAGAATTGGCCTTATTCTAACTTTTAATGGTATTAACTTTGGGTCAATTTTATCAAGAAAATTACGTAATATCCATCAAAATCCAACATCTTTATATTTACACCATCTTTATTAAATTAATATATATACTCTTGTAAAATATAAAATTATTCTATCATGATACTCTACGTCTGACCTTTTTTATCGAGAAGAAAAAAAAAATCTAATAGGATGTTAAGTTTATGCCAGTAGATGGTTTAAATATAAAGATATCATCTTTTAAGTGATATTTTTATATTTCTCCCAATTTTATTGGGGTCTTCTAAAAAATAAAAATCTTTTGACATGCTCTTGATTTTTATTTTAAGCCTACATATTTCTTTTTTCTTTTTTTTAGAATTTCTTTAGTAGGACTATAAAAAATTAACTACCGATAGTTCTCCAGTTTCAACCGTTAAATTTGTATTAGAAATTGTCTGTTCTGCATACTTTTTCAATCTGATGTGATTTTGATCAGATCTAACAGTAAGAAATTGATACTATCGGTAGGGAGACTTATGTCCTTTATTTCTATGGGCCTTGCCTACTAATTTCTAAATTGGCCTATCTTTTTTTTTTTTTTTTTTTTTTTTTTTTTTTTTTAACTAAGCCCAACCCATTGCTTGAGATTTTGTTTTTGTAAGTTAAGAAAAAGAGACAAATATCCTTTAAAATAGAACCCTTTTTATTTCTACCCCTCAACATTAGCTCATATATTTTTACTCTTTTAGACTAGAACTAATCAAAGGGCCCATAAATGGATTATCAAAAATACCCTCAATGGTCCATCGGTAATTTACAAGAACTAAGCCCAACCCATTGCTTGAGATTTTGTTTTTGTAAGTTAAGAAAAAGAGACAAATATCCTTTAAAATAGAACCCTTTTTATTTCTACCCCTCAACATTAGCTCATATATTTTTACTCTTTTAGACTAGAACTAATCAAAGGGCCCATAAATGGATTATCAAAAATACCCTCAATGGTCCATCGGTAATTTACAAGACGCCGACGGTCTTCGGTCGCCGACTAGCACGGCGGGTCTTCGTTTGCCGACCGGCGGGTCTTTGTTTGCTGACCGGCCGGTCTCTAGTAACCGACGCCGGCTATAGTCTGTCAGACTATGATCCATAGTCTGTCAGATTATGACAGATTATGATCCATAATCTAACAAGTTATGTCGGTCAACTGGTCTCCAATCGCCGGCACCGGCCATAGTTTGTCATGTTACGCCGGTGGCAGCCATAGTCTGTTAGACTATGATCCATGGTTTGTCAGACTATGATCCATAATCTCACAGATTACGCCGCCGCCGGCGTAACATGACAGACTATAATTCATAGTCTGATAGATTATGATCCATAATCTATCAGGTTATATTTTTATTCTCAACTAAAATATGACGAAACATCTGTGATCACCGATATCGGTAGTCGAAAAAAAATCTACCAAATTGATCCAAAAAATAAAACACAAAAAATTCCAACAAAATCATAACAAATCCATATTACAAAGTTTCAAACAGCGTATCACAACAACTCTAGCACTCCGTTTATGCAAATGCGTTAAATGCTTGAAACAAAACCAAAACCCTGTTCAGTAGTTAAAATTAATATATATATATATATATATATATATACATTAACCATGAAAAAAAAAAGAATGAAAAAAATTCTATAAAATCTACACACA